TATTATAATCCTTGTGCATATGCAGTGGATTCATTGCTCTGTTGATCTTGTGCCTGCAATGATATTACTGTAAAGCAACAGCCTCATGAACTACAGGATTGTTGAAAGCCTGCAGCTGGGCCTCTGCTGTTAACTGTTCCGCTTTTATTAGGCAGATTAAAGAGAAGACAGCGTTCCTAACATCAAGTCCCATTCCCACTGTGTACATTGTAATTTTTTTTTAACAAAATGACTTTGTTCTTTTTACCTCCACCAGACCACTTCATGAACCACTTACTCTTGTGCTGGTACTGCCTGACCTTGCCAGAGGTTTTGTACAGTTTATTTTAAAATAAAAGATGAATGTCTATTTTTGTTCCATGTCGTCGTGCTAATTTACTTCAAGGGAAATGAGGAAGTAAAATGACACTGTACAATGTCTGTACTGTTAAATTTAAGACTCTAAATATTCAAGCTATAAGAAAAAATATTTTTTTTCGTTCTGGGTTGTATGGGTTTTTCAATGGCGATACAATATAATTAAAGTTATGATGTAACAGAAGTCAAATCAAGTCAAGTCACTTTTATTTATATAGAGCTTCATACAATACAGTTTGTGCCAAAGCAGCTTTACAGTGTTAAACAGGAAAAACTTGTGCTGATAATGCAAGAGGACAATAGAAAACAGTCAGTTTATCAGTTAAAGTCAGTTCATTGTTGATTCAAGTCATTGTCCAGCTCAATTCAGTTCTCTTCCAACAGTGTATGTGCAGTCAAGTCAACAATGTTGCCATAAATTGTGTCCCAAACTAAGCAAGCCAAAGGTGACAGTGGCAAGGAACCAAAACTCCATCGGTGACAGAAATGGAGAAAAAAAAAACCTTGGGAGAAACCAGGCTCACTAGGGGGGCCAGTTCTCCTCTGACCAGACGAAATCAGTGTGGTTTAATTCCAGGCTCCAACGCACTTCAGATTGTGCAGAGGACTCGTCTGGTTCTCGTGGTCTTGTGCCGATGGCCCATGAGGTCTTCACAGGGGATCTGTCTCTGGGGCGCATCTAGTTGACATGGTCTCCGCTGACATTCAAGGCTGTAGAGGTTGTCTCTAGGTGCTGATCCACCATCTGCACTGGATACGAACTGGATCCAGGTGACTGCAGTGACCATCTTATCAGGATATGGAGTGGATCTGGGTAGCTATGGTGACCTGGGAATAAGAATAAAACAGAATAATATTAGTGTAGGTAGATGCCATTCTTCTTGCGATGTCACAAGTACGTTGGGTGTTATGGGAAGTGTTCCCGGTTCTGGTTGACCTAATTAATGCAGCCTAACAACCCTTTAATGGATTTGAATTATAGAAAAGTGATTGTGCGTTTTGTGTATGCCAGGTTAAAGAGATGGGTCTTTAATCTAGATTTAAACTGACAGAGTGTGTCTGTCTCCCGAATAATGCTAGGTAGATTGTTCAAGAGTTTGGGCGCTAAATAAGAAAAGGATCTGCCGCCCCCAGATGATTTTGATATAAGCAATTAGCAAGATTTTAAAATATATACGATGTTTAATAGGGAGCCAGTGCAGTGTTGACAGAACCAGGCTAATATGGTCATACGTCCTGGTTCTAGTAAGAACTCTAGCTGCTGCATTTTGGACCAGCTGGAGTTTGTTTATTAAGCACGCAGAGCAACCACCCAATAAAGCATTACAATAATCTAACCTTCAGGTTATAAATGCATGGATTAACATTTCTGCATT